TCGTTACAAGACTCCAGGTATACAAACAACACATATTATACAAGAACAAAATATAAATATATATATATAAAACTATAAAAGATATATAAAAGATCAAATGTACAGTTATACAGTAAAATAAACTTAGTGTATTCTACTATTGTACTTAATGCGTCGGTGTCAGGGTGGACAGCAAAGAACAAAGAATGTCATTGCACAGAGGAAACTTGTTTTCTTTTGCTGCACATGACAATAAACACATGCTCCCTCTGCTGGTTAACCCCTTTCTTCAGGAGAGGTTGTTGTTGTTGTTGTTTACCTCGCTGGCTCTGTTGATAGGCTCTTTCCCTGACAACCAACCCCCAAACACAGTTCCTGCTTCCTCCAGCTGACGGTCCTCCGCTTCTGACAGGTAGCTACCAAGCATTAGTAAAAACCTCAGCTTATCTCACGCACGCACACACAAAAAAAGACCCAACTCAGCCCCCGTAGCCTTTAGCCCCCCAATGACGTAACGTGAAGCTGTTGTTAGGAGCCCGTTACCGTGGAAACCGGCGCTAGCTCGTTAGCGTGCTAGCCTGCTGTTAGCTCGGCCGGCTAACGTCAGGCTGTGACTTCAGGAAGGTCCACGCTTGTTTTATTGTAGAAAAGCTGTGGTAGTGTTAATAGTGGTGTTTAATATGAATGAATTACAGAATGTGATGAAGTAGCACGCCAGCTGCGGTTGTTTATGTTGACTCTTAACTTGTTTTATGACCTTTAAAAGCTTTATAAAGCCGCAGTGACCTTCTGAGAACAAGGCTCAGGTTGGCTCACTAACTTAATCCTCTCATATCACTCCGAGAGTTTGGCCAACCTGAGCATCCGTGCTGTTTTTCTGAAAGATAAATACTTACCAAACGTTGAAGAAACCCGTGCTGTGTCCATTTGAGAGTATTTATAAGGTATTTTATAATCTGACTGGCCAAACAATCTCCTGAACAACAACAATGTCCACTTAGAAAGTAGTTTTTTTGTTCATTCAGATGAAGTAGGCAGCCAGAAGTGACATTTCTGACCCATCTGTTTGTCAAAGTGTATCATTATATCTTATATTGTCCCGGTCTATATTTTATTTAATATAATTATCTGTTGTGTTGTATCTGGAGCTGCTGCAGCCAAGTGAATTTCCCCCAGCGTGGGATCAATAAAGTCGTATTTTATCTTATTTTGCGATTATTTTGACATTATTTTGCGGTATGATTCACGATTAGTTTTAGGAATTATTATTTTTGCATTATACATTTTATTTTCACTGAAAATAACTATTAAAATCATGATGATACTGCTACAAAACAAAACCAAAAAAATGTTCTGTTAAATCTGGAGAACAAGCTTTGTAGTTCAGGGCTTCTCTTCAGAACTACAGAACATTATAATGTTTTTGTTTGCACATTTTACATTTATTAAAATGGCATCTTGTGCGATTCACATATTGCACATGGCCGTATTTCCATTTAGATAATATTTCGTTAATAATAACATTTCATGCAGCTCTGGTGATTACATGGGAAAGTCAACTGTGTTTGAATAGTGTCATATTTCTCTTCCCTAGTCAAAACCCAATGATTGTGCGCCAGGTCACCTGCAGAGGCGTAACCAACTCTCACCTGTATGCCCTCCTGAGAAGACCTCGGGTTAGCCAAGACATGGCCAGACCCAGTTCAGGTAGTCTTCGTTCTCTGCTGCTTCTGTTACGTCCTCTTCCTCAGGAGCAAATACCCGCATCCACGAGCTTTCATTACTCTCATTTCTTTGTGATGTATTTGTGTTTCTGCTCAGACCTGGCTGCATTCAGGGAGTTTTTCTCCAAAGCAAACAACATAGCCATCATCACCGGAGCAGGAGTGAGCGCCGAGAGCGGAGTCCCCACCTTCAGAGGAGCAGGAGGCTACTGGAGGAAATGGGAAGCGCAGGTGTGCAGCCGTGTTATTGTCTTATTGAACTGTATTGCATTATACTGACAGGTGGTTCTGTTATCTAGCCCTGTGGTTTCCAACCACTAGGGGTCGCCAACGCTTCATGGAGGGGTCGCAAGGCCTTCTTGATTTTAAAGCGTGTTAAGTATATACACAGTAGGCCTATATCTCAGCATTTGGACGACTTCTGTGAATAAATATAAAGCAAATTGTCTAATAGAACAATGACCAAGTGTTTAGAGTAATAGAAACATGTCAGTATAATGCAATACATACAAAAACTGAACATTAAAGCCTTTACAAGGGCTTATTGCAGGAATCTGGTATAAGACTGCATTAGCTTTAGCTAGGTATACCTAATAAACTGACTGCAATGAAGTGTACAATATTAAATAATGAATATGGTCCTTACATTTGCTTTTGTGAATCTTTAATATTTGTAAAACTGCAGGACAGCACTATGAAAAAGTTAATTTTACAATTAGTGTTGTTAAACAGTGATAATCTTTCACAAGGGGAAACTTTTTGCCCTGTAAACCCTGTAGGAAACTTAAATAACTCTTGAGTCTATACTCATCGAGCATCACAAGAGTTTTACTATGACAAAAAATAGTTCAGACTCAGAGAAGAAACTATCATACCAGATTATTATATTATTTCTGAAGCTGAGTGGAAACAGTGCAGATGAGTTTGTGCTCAGTTGTCTCTTTTGCCTTCTCTTGTGTCTTCTATTGACAGCCTGTTTGAGGTTATTTAGGGTGCTTTTCCAAGAAGGAGGAGCTTTAATGTTGATGATTTTCTAGGGAACTTTTCAATCAGCACAGTTTTTCTTTTTCCTCACATCTTCATCTTGTAGAAACTCGCCACTCCGGAGGCCTTCTCCAGGAATCCCTCCCGTGTTTGGGAGTTTTACCACTACCGCCGTGAGGTCATGCTTACAAAAAACCCCAACCCCGCCCACCTGGCCATTGCAGAGTGTGAGGAGCGCCTGAGCAAACAGGGACGCATGGTTACGGTCGTCACTCAGAATATTGACGAGCTCCATCGACGCGCCGGATCCAAAAACATCCTGGAAATTCACGGCAAGTAGAAAACAAGGGAAGACGCTTAATGTCAGCATGGATCGAATAATTAAAGAAATATATACTTAACTAGTCTATTACTCAAATAAGAATTATTTTACTTCCCCTACAGTCAGAAATCAGTGTTTCTTCTTGTTCCCACAGTGTGATGTTTGATTGATGTCTGTGCACAGTGTGACACTAGAAGGATGTTTTCACATTCATCTGCTGAAAGTGAAAAGTTTCTCTGAGCTCATTGAAAATCAGATTTTAAGGGGCGGGGCCTACGAGCATGATTTGTGACATAACAAATAGTTGATGTGTGTGGTAGGAACTTAAATCCATCTGTGCACAGACACTGAGAATCATCTTGTGTCCAGCAGGAAAACTTTAGGAATGAACATTTGCATTCTGGTCTTTTTAATGAAGAATTTCTTTCTTTCTTTCCAAAAAAAAAACGTATCAGACACACATTATTGTTCTAAACAGACTATTTGTATATATCTTTAAGAATTTTAAGTTTGATATTGGATTAATTAAAGTCGTTTTAGATTTTTTAGTTCTGCTTTTCAAAACAAGAAATTTGATGGCCATTTTTTACTATATTCTGACATTCAGGCCCTTATTTTATTTTTAGAATTAAATGTGAAAATAATTCTTGGTTTTTACATGTGCTCATCTCTTTGTGGTGACACTTGTGTTTTTTATAACTGCTGATAATTTGTCAATAGTTAATTCATTGTTTAGTCCATAAAAAAAATCTAAGAATTAGGAAAAATGTTTATAATTAAAGTTTGTAAAGACCTAAAAGTCTAAAATCCAATCATCTATACCGATATCGATATACCGGTCTTTAACGCCATATCGGTGCATAGCTGAAATAACTGTTGTAACTCATTTGTTTCTTACTTATGCAATAGAACATTTGAGAAATATCTCTTTGAATACCTACAACTATTTTAAAATATTTTGTAGGTTGTTTGCATTTTTATTTTATTTTCTAAGTTCTGTTTCACTGCGTTGCAGTTTTGCACAATTAAATTACATTCTGTAAAGCTAAATAAAGGCCCAGTCATGCAAAAACAAATCTATATTTATATGTATCATGAAACATGCCAGAATCTTAAAACATACCGTGATACAAAAACTTCATATCCCTGGTCCTTTTTTGCCCATATGGACGTCACACAGGTATGAAATTGTATTAATAATGATCTTAAAAAGTCTTAAGTTTAACCTGTTGAAACCTGCAGAACACCTGTTTTATGAATATATCCACTCAGGAGAAGCTGGAACTTACAAATGTTTGACATGTGTATTTGATATATTACACACAACAATGAATCAATCGTTGAAATAGTTGTTGATTAACTGTCTGTCCTCCGACTGATCAACTGATTGGTTGTTTCAGCACTAACCTGTTGTGTCTCGTGTTGTGATTCCAGGAAGTCTGTTTAAAACACGCTGTATGAGCTGCGGCCATGAAGCAGCCAATTACAAGAGCCCCATCTGTGCCGCTCTGGAGGGAAAAGGGTAAGAGCTTCATCTGGTGTCGTTTGGTGAATTGAACTTGGTTTTACCTCAACAATATGAAAATTTGTAATTAGAGATATTGATCACATTCATTTGAGCACAAAATGCCAGCAGGAAATAAAAAAAGCCCCGTTTCAGTCTGTCAGACATCAGGAGCTAAATAACACCTGATGACGCAGTGGAAGGGAAAATCTGAAATGTCACTTTAAAAGCCACTTATGTGACATTTAAAATTGATGTTTTTAATAGCGGAAATGTTCTACTAAGAAATGTAGTCTCTGCCGTGGGTAAAATGATGGAAGCCCTGTACTAAAATTATGAATTAATGTCAGAACTGATCATGTAATTCTGATCCCTTTTTCTATGCCCGTCCACTGTTCTCCAGTCATACAGGTGATGTAAATGTCTCACTGTGTTAAGCTTAAAGCAGCAGCAGATGAATGAATACAATAAAATTAACCAAAACCAAAAACACAAATTAAAATGTTTAAAAATCAACAGGGAATAAAAGTGTATTAAACATAATAATATATCTAACCTAAAATAGTTTGGATTTACTAACTTTAATGTATTTAAAATGAGCACTATGTAGTTCGGGCTCAGTATCAGTATTAAATCAAGTGAATTTGTAAGAAACAAGCTTTGTTTGAGGAATTTCAGGTATATCAGGGTGTAATTGCCCTTTTTTACTGACATCAAACGGCTTTTTTATCAAATTGCCTCCTCAGAGCTCCAGACCCAGACACAGATGACGCAGAGATCCCTGTTGGACAGCTGCCCAGGTAAGACACACTCATGTTCTCTTTTAGTGCTCTGCTCTTTTCAAATGAGGTTATTTGTTTTGACAAAGTGTGTGTGTGTGTGTTGTGTGTGCGTTTCAGGTGCGAGCAGACAGGCTGTCACGGTCTCCTGAGACCAGCTGTGGTTTGGTTTGGAGAGACTCTGGACTCAGACATCCTCACCCGTGCAGAGAAAGTGTTGGACAGCTGTGACCTCTGCCTTGTGGTACGTGTGTGTTTGTAAATGCGTTTTTATTACCTATTGGGGACCTTTTCTGGTGTAAAAATTTACCTTGTCGGTACCAGTCGTCCTCATGGGAACAGAAGACAGAGAAAGGGGTTTGATAAAGGCTGATTTTTAGTTGTATGTAGGCTCTACGTCGAGTCTAAGCCAGTGACCCACACCGTTACGAGCATTTATACCTGTGCGCTTGTCTGTCTGCGTTAAAATAACACAACCAAAACTGAAAGTCTGCCTCAACTCTCTCCTCAGTCGATCTCGTATTTTCCTGATTTTGTTCTCCCCCCCCACCCCCCGCCGCCCGTGAAACAAAAAGGACGAGGGAGTACAAGAGCGTGTCATGCAGCGAGGCAGCGTCCCATGTGTGCCTGTTTGGGTGTGTGAGGACACACTTGTCTGTGTGTGTGTATGTTTGAAGAGGGAATCTCAAACAGCATTATTAACTCGTCTGGGTTTTACATGAGTCACTTCCCATTCTCAGACAATGCACACACAAACCTGTCACAGCTGTTTGTGCTGCCTCAACATGTAGTTACATTTCTGGGAAGGAGAACGTCAGGTTATGGCGTAGAGTACAAGGTTACGCCATACCTACGCCATAGCCACGGTGTCAGTTTGACGCAGAAGTATAAATCAGGCTTTAGGCTGCCCACAGTGAATAAAGTCAGTGGGAATGTCCTAATAAGGATAGCTGCGTAAACTTGTGTGTGTTCATGAAATTTATATTATTGTAAAATTAAAATGTATAAAGTGCATCAATAATACTGCCAAATTCACTGATGTACATGGCAGTTTTATTCCCGCATTCATAAATAAATAAGGGATAGAATTAAAAAATAGGGATGTAGTGATACCACTTAGGACCAATTACAAGTAGAAGTTAAATTGCTCTTAATGTTGGCGAGGAAGGCTGTAATAATTCATCTTTTTGTAAGAAAATGGTAGAAAACAATCAATCTTCTTGGAATTAAGAGCATTTTGGAGGAAGATAACTAACTGAGCTGAGGGATTATTTAGTTCATGTACAACACCATCTTCAATACTTCTGTGCTCTGGTGATAAGATGAATGCTGTGTGTCGTGTCCCGAACCAATAATTAGTTGATGGTATTGTTTTGTTTTCTATGTTCAAATACAAGTAAAAGTACTAATATTTTGGTACATATGCTAATATCAGTACTTAATAATACCATTACAGTTCTAAAACTGACTTTGAAAACATGTTTTATGTTCATCACATATTCCTTACTTTCTGACTAACAAATGTGGACGTAAATGCTGCTAATGTTGTTGTAAAAGTTGCTTTGAGCTGTTCCAGACTGTTTATAAAAGTTTATTATATTTATTTTGCCATGATATTTGGAGGAATATTAAAGTTTTAGATGTTACATTTAATGCTGTATAAAAGACAAAAGAGAGCAGCACTCTGTCATTTATTATTAATATAGACATCCTCTTTCCTAAACTTATCTTAAACTCAATAAAATCCCACTCTGCAGGTTGGCACTTCGTCTGTTGTGTATCCAGCAGCCATGTTTGCCCCTCAGGTGGCAGCCAGAGGAGTCCCTGTGGCCGAATTCAACATGGAAAACACACCGGCCACCATGCGCTTCAAGTATGTTTGTTTACTGTCACACAATCACACACGTGCATCATTTTCAGCATGTTTACAGCATGGACGTCATTTGTTTCTTGTGTTTCAGGTTCCACTTCCAGGGCCCCTGTGGGACCATGTTGCCCCCCGCGCTGGCACGCCACGAGACTGAGCAAAGTTAAAAAAAGAGACCTGAACATCAGCTGCACACAGACCAGACTGTCTAACACTGGAGGACTTTATTGGTACAAATACCATAAATAATAGGTTGAATGCCCAAAATGAATGGGCTTCATGGGGGAAAAAGGCCAACAAATTGAAAAAGAAAAGGAGTTTACTGTTTGTTCACACACATAAATTATTATTATTAAATTATAAATAGTTAGAACTTTGGGCATTTAAGTTCTAGTTGATGCATTTTTAATTGTTTATTTTAAATTTATTAATATTGAACATTGTAGCAAATGTTATGATGCCAAATTACACCAGTGCTCTGTGTTGACTGCCAACATTTATAACAACATATTATAACTCCTTGCAAAATAATTAACCTTGCTGTTTATAGATATATAAATACATGCAGGCCAACTTCATCACTCCCTTTTCGTTAAATGCATGGCGACTGTCTGACTGTAGGGGGCAGTGTTTAGCTGCTGTTGTGTACCACTGCACCTCCAAAACTGACTCCTTCCAGAGGATCTGTAGGCTCTGCCTGGGATATGTGGTGTGTGTGTGTGTGTGAATTCAGTGTCTGAATTTATGGATTGTGATGAATACTGTGTATGATGCCTTCCAGTTGCCATGAGTAAGCTCCAGTTAAACCAGGGAAACCAGTGACTGTGCATTCCCACAGCCAGCCATGAGATGAAGAATTTGTGACGTGTATGTTGAGGTTTGGATTGAAAGAGCATATTCATATGAAATATATGTATAAAGAGTGTCTCTGCAGAGTGTCCTCGCTGTGTTTCTAAAATACTGCATGAGTTGCAAATGATGCAATCAGAAAGAGTTTATTACCGCAGTGTGTGGTAGCAGAGTGTGCATTAACTGTACAGTCCTCTATATGTTCTAGGCGGCGTTCTGCTTCAGCTGAAGATGGGATTGTGTCTGACACTTCTGTGCTTAGCCACAACCAACCCCCCACTCCTATTGTCTCAGTATAAACACACACTACACAGGCCGTGTCCAGTCCTGTGTTCATGTGCATTATGCTGCTGTCGTTTATAGCAGTGACTCCCAACCGGGGGCTATGTGGACAGATTGTGGAGTGGCTCACCCAATTTGTAAAAATAGACCATGGTGATTATGTAATATAAAATATGCACAAATATGTGTTGGAGGATAAAAATAAACACACAAATAGGATTACAAATTGGTGTGATGCTGATCCCTTTCTTTATAACCAATAAGCTACCAAACATCCCACCAACCTCAACACGACATGCTGCTGAAAGTATTGATTATATTTGGAAGATTGTCATTTGATTGTATATTAGCTTCAGTTGGATGCATTTTCAAGTCCTTTGTGAACAGGAGGAATGATTACAGCAACCATAGAGAGCTTTTTCGTAGGTCAACCCGGAAGTTAGCATCACCTTCCTTCGACAAAAATGTTTCCATTAGATTACTCCATGATAAAGTTGTGTTGTAAACAAAATTGTGTAATAATCTGTGAGGCCCAGACCCCAGAAACACTAACCACGCTGTTGCTAGCTATCTTAAAATCTATAAGTTGGAAAGAAAATGTGGTAAAAAATATACACACTAGGTCTATATCTCAGCATTTGGTTCAATACTGTGAAGAAAAAATAAATGTAATGTCTAACAGATCAAGGGCCAAGCATCAGGGACAAGAAAACACTGAATCTTCCAAAAAAAAGTTTGATATCTGATGATGAATTCATCAAAAAGTTTGTATGATTGTTAAAAAATAGAAACCAAATACATAATACAGACAGAATTAATAAAAAACTTCCTTTAACAGGAAAGAATCTGCTCATCCAAATGACTAATTTTACGCAAACTTCTTGGGTTAATTGTACAGTACTGAATATAATATGAAATATCTATAAAATATGTCACTTAGTCAGAGGTTATCAGTTTACTAAATGATAGAAAAGGGGTCCCTAGCTTAAGGTTTCATGTGGTTATAAACCAATAAAAACATGCCTATGAATGTTATATTTCTGCCAATATAGCCTCTAAGATCCACTTTTTAATAGTGTTAAATATAATCCAATTTAAAATCCATCAAACAGACATATGGAACATGACAGGGTCGACATAGGGGGTACTTTATAGGGGTACTTCATACATCTGACAGGGTTGTGGGGGCACACAAAAGGGTGGGAACCACCGCTTTATAGGTTCTCTGTTATTATAGGCAATGTTCTGCTTTGGCTGAAGATCTTATTGTTCCTGACACTTCCCTCCTTGACCACATCCCCCCTCCTCCCCCAGACTTCATCCATCATCTCCGCATAAACACACAGCGTGCTCCGGCCAAGTCCATCTCCCTAAACGCTCATTTGCAGTGGAGTGGCGGATGTCAACAGAGGTTATTAATATTTGGCTAATCTGATCCTGGTATTTGTATCAGCCGCAGGAAAATCTCATCGCACCACCTCATTCCCTCTCTTCTCCTTTCTCTTCCCTCCTCTGCTTTCTCTCGGGCTTCATTTTCGAGGTGCTGTTTTCCCTTTTCCACTTTCATCTGTACATCTGCCATGTGTGTGGTGTTTGAGACGCCATGCATCATCCCCCCCCCCCGACTCCCCAGCTACGCCTCCATCACCTGCTCATTAGAGAGAGGATGATGGTCCGACGGTCCCCCATGACTCTGCTCCAAAAATAACAGAGCCAATTTCCCGCCTGTTAGGCGGCGATTTCACACCAATCTGAGTTGTACTGCCAGCTAGGCCTGTCAGAGAGAGAGAGAGAGAGGAAGAAGGTGGAAAAGAAAAGCGACGCAAGGAAAAGAAAAATGTAGGTCAGAGTGTAATGTGTCTGAAAATACAAGTTCTTTATCCCATAAACACCCCGCCCTCATCAGTCAGCAGAGGTGGAACGAAGTCCATTTCTTAAGAACTCACTCGCATACAATTTTAGCTATTTTGGGAGACTGTTGCAATTTTAAAGTTTTAAATCCTGCACATAACCCCCCCCCCCAAAAAAAAAACAAACAAAAACAAATTGTAGTTTTTACACGTTATTTTCTTGCAGCTTTTAAACAAACAAAGTACAATTTGTTGATAAGCAACTTTTAAGATTGCTGGAAGGCAAATAAAAAAAAATCTTTGGACAAAGCCAGGCTAGTTGTTTCCCTTTGCTTTAAGTCTTTATGCTAAGCTAAGCTAATTGGCAGCTGGATCTATCTCTCAGCAAAGACAGCAAATATACATAATTTCCTAAAAATATGGTACTATTCCTTTAATCTAGTCTAGTTCAGTTTACTGCTTTATTAATTCAGTTTATAATGTGTAAATTTAGTTTAATAAATGTGTGAGCAGTAAAAAGGGGACCAACAGCACAGTTTTTGCCGCAGGGCTCAGTCCATGTATGATGTACTCTGTGTTTTACTATCAGATATACTTCCTTAGCAGATTATGGTTTTATGGCAAAACATATTATGATGTATTTACAAAATAAGATCAAATAAGACACTAATTAGTTACTCTTCTAGTTATATTACTTTTCTGCTACTCCCTACAAAATTCGTAATTGTGTCTTCTTTCCCCAAAATCATTTTTTTTTTTGTTAAAATCAAAGTAATGTGAATATTTCTAGCCGAATGTTTTCATCTTCCAAAATAGTGTCCTCCACAATTACAAAAATTAATCTAAGGATGTGATTGAATTGTTGGACTGATTGAATCAGTAGGACATGACAACAAAAGTAAGGTTGTAACTAATTATTTTTTAATAACTGTAATATTATTACTAACCTTCATCAGTGAGTAGTTAAACTACTAGTTACTGGGGAAAGTAATATTATTACTGTAATATTATTATTAGTATAATATTCCCCATCCCCAACACAACCACAAACAACCCTGATTAGTTGGACTTCTTAATCACTTTAAAATGCAGGACTTTTACTTGTAATGAAATTTTATTTTACATTATTGTATTTCTAAATGTTGTTGAGGCCTTTATCTGTAGGATTTAGGAATATCTGACCTCAGTGACTCCACGTGGTCGTAAAGAAAAGACACTATGGCAGAGAATGAAAGGCTGGAAACCACACAGCCTGCACCTTTTTTCCACCAGGATTGTCTATAAACACTTACACCACCAAAATAACTTGCTATATGCTAGATAATTCATCACATGGGGGCTTAAATGAAGGATTTTATGTGTGTATTTCTCCCTCCTTGGTGTTTGTGTGCGATGTAAACCAGTGTGAATTCCTTTATAAAATGATGGTGGCCTAGAAGAAGTGTTGCAATGAAAAGAAGAATTACAGCGTCCTCTCTTCAGCCAAGGCCGGAGCGAGGTTACGGTAAATATCTCCATCAATGTCACAGTGTCACCAGCAACCACGTCAGTACGGTTATAACCCCACCCGCCTCACGCCACCAGTTTTATGAGCTGTGCGCCCGCATTTGACCTCTAATGGACAGGGGCTTGTGTTTGTCTGCGAGCAGCTTGGAGGATGGAAGCAGTGTAGCTGATTTCCCAGAAGTTTGTCAGATTTATTTTGTACAAACATTTGAAAATATTTCATTAGTATTTGTTCAGAATTATCACCTCGGGCCGCATGTTTGGCTTTGTGTATTTCTGTAGCCATTAGGGTCGTTAAAAGGAGAGAAAATAAGATGCAAAGCGACAGTGGATCATGAATAAAGTTTATATAGTGTGATATTTAAAAAGCAAATGAGTGCACAGAGCATTTATGTCCTATTTTGATCAATGTAGATGTTCATATTCCCACATCACCGGGGACGTACCGCAGCTAATGCCAACACCTTGGGATACCTCGATTAAATGTACAGTATGTGTATGTATGTATGTGTGTGTGAGTGTGTGTGAATAATTTGTCTCCCCACACTTTCTCGTTCAGCCGACAGAAATTCCAATTAGAGAATCTTTCCCTCCTTCTTCACAAACTGGAGCATCATATTTTATTCATTCGTTTGGCAAACTGTGAAAGTGAATTAACTTTTGAGCCACGATCCCACAGACGCCCCCATCCCTCCATCCACCAACACACCTGAAACTCTCAGAGCTATTGATTTTTAATTCACTCTCAAGAAAACTTTACTTTATTCATTCTGGAGAGCGAGAGAGAGAGATAGAGAGAGGGAAAAAAAACACTTTAGCCAGAGGATCTGCAGTATGACTGTGTGGGATATGTGTATATTTCTCTTCTTGTGAGGACAAAGTGGAAGGATGGTGTTATTCATCACATTGAAACCTTAATGATTAAACAAGTTTAATGAATGAATTAGCCTCAAGGACAGTGATCAGCATGTTTTAATATTGTGCGCAAGCAATGCTCGTATACACACGTCTGCGCTCACGTACCTGTGAGAATATTCATTGACTAAACTTCAGTGATTTTCAACCTGCTTTGTAGACTCATTAAATGCTGCGCTCAGTAGATACTGAAGACTTTCTCTTCTCTTTTGGTGCTAAAACTGTGTGGGAATAATTAGAGAGAGGAACCTGCATTGCAGAACCAACGCAAAGACGATGATGACACATGGACGTCGTACAATACAACATTGCTCGGGAAATTTTCAATGTTTTAAAAAGCTATCCCTGTGTGACAAAGCGGCTCTATTTCACTATGGGGGAGAATGAGAGGAGAGCACTGGTTTTGGTGAGGCGTGTCCTTGAAGTAAGCGGCGTATGTTTGTTAGTGGCCATTCACGCCGCTGTTCAAGTAACTCCCCAGAAGATGGGTGGGCTTTGTATCATTACAATGTGGGCAGTATAGGCAAATAAACAATGTTTATCTTCCCTCCAGGTTGCACCCAGAGCTCCCCGCTCATTTGCCAGCTCTAGGGTTGTTCGAACTACAGATTGTACTTCTGCATTCTTACATGCCCGTCGCCAGGGAGATAAAAGTGATATAGATCTTAAGTTAGCAAGTTACATCTGATAGCTAATGTGAGCAAAATGGAAGCTAATTAGCTAACTAACAATTGATGTAGATTAGCGAGCTAGTTGTGACTATATTGTTTATCTTTTAACCATCTTCAAAATGTGGTGTGGCCCAGTGCATTCTGGTTATTTAAGGTTTTCTACCATTCGAGCAAAAGGGAATAACACAGCCCTTTGTCTCTGTTTTCTATGATCATGTAGGGAAAATGTAAAACATATATGCATCTTTCTACTGCAAAGACAGCCCAGTTTTACTAATAGACCA